ACCCTAACCCTAAGAGCAGAGGAATCTAGGAACCCTAAACCTAAGAACCCTAAACATAAGAGCCCTGAGCCCTCAGAGCACCGAGAGAAACCTACGAACCCCAAACCCGAAATCTTGCTGAGGAAAAAGGCACTTAAAAGGAATAGAACAACCCTAACAAACCTAAACCGTAAACCTAAGAGCCCTAAACCCTAAGAGTCCTAAACCATAAACCCTAAACTGCCTGAAATCTAAAACCTTAGAGCCCTCAGAAAAACTTCAAGAACCCGAAGGCTGTAAGAACGCCAAACCCCGAACCCGAAGAGCCCCAAGAACCCGAAGAACCCCAGACCGTAAACCCTGAACTTAAACGAGCCTTAAGAGAACTCTAAAAGCCCTAAGAGACAAGCCCTAAACCCTAAAAGCCCTAAGCCTTACGCCCCAAACCCGAAACTCGAAGCCCTGAGCCCAAAAGCCCCAAAAAGCCCTAAGAGCCAAACAAAGAAAACCTGAACCCTAAAAGCCTTAAGAGCCCAAATCAGAAACCCTAAACCCCAAAAGCCCTAAGGGCCCAAAGCCCTGAACCCTAAACCCCAAAAGCCCTAAGAGCCCAAAGCCCTGAACCCTAAACCCTAAAAGCCTTGAACCTTAAACCCTAAACCCTAAAAGCCCCAAACCCTAAACGCCCTACAAAGAGCCCAAAAGGGAAACCTTCTTGGCAGAGGCGCGCGAAGCTCTTGCCATGGATGGCGGCGACTTTCAGGGGCTCCGACACCGAGGATGTTCGGTTAGGGTTTAGGGTTCAGGGGTTTAGGGTGTAGGGTTTAGGGGTTTAGGGGTTAGGTTTTTGTTGTTTATTGTTTTGGGTTTTTGTTTGTTTTCCTGGTGGGTTTGGGGTTTGGCGTTTAGGGCTTTTGCTGTTTGGGGCTTTTGGGGCTCTGGGGGTTTGGGATGTTGGGGGGTTTGGGGCTTGTGAGGGCTCCAAGGCATAGCTTGAGGGGGCTTTCTAGGCTCCAAGATTGTTTTCAAGTGTTCAAGGCTTTGGGTTATCTCTAAGGTTTCAGAGTATCTTAAAGGGTTTCTTTCAGAGTTTCGTTTACGGGTTCTATTGGGTGTAGGGCATTGGGGGCCTTTGGGTTTGTTGCAGGCAGCTTGATCCTTTTTTGTTTGTAATACCCCTAAACCCTAAACCCTAAACCCTAAACCCTAAACCCTAAACCCTAAACCCTAAACTGTAAGGGCCTTTAGGGTTTTGGATGGGTTTATGTCCGGGAGACTTAGGGTTGAACAATTCTGGGGATGAGGGTTCAAGGTTCTAGGGTTCAGGGAAAGGGTTCTGGACCCTAAACCCTGATCCCTAAACCCTAAAGGTCTAGGTATTATAAGTATGGTAAAATGGGTCCCAAAACCCTTTTCTGATGATTCTGGCCCCTATATTACCAAGGTGTGAGGCTGTTTGAGGCTTTAGTCTATCCTCCCTGCCTCCCTCTTCCCTCAAGACTCTTGAGTTTTCATTTTGAGCTGGGCAGTCCGTGCTATTCCGCATTCTAGGGGGCGTGACCACGGAAGAAGGCATGCATCTGCATGATGGTAAGCACGAAGGAAATATGTTACTTGACATCACAGTGACAACGACATCAACAGCCGTTGTGACAATGAAGGCTCATGTTGTGATGCTTGTCTTGGTGTTCAGTGTTCCAATTTCGGAGATGGTCACAATATCTGCTCTCCAGCTGTTGTTTCAGAATCGGTTGGGGTTCAGGCAAACACAAGGGTCGGCTCGCTGTTGGAACGCTTATTGCCGAGGTCAACGATTGGCGTCGATCTCGACATGTTGTACCAGGACCTCCAACTTTACAACGTGACATTCGGGGGTTGAGGTCGCGTTTTGTTTGCTGCCTACGCGCCAGTACAGTATCAACCAGTCCGGCAGCCATGATGTCACCGGTGACACTTGTGATGCCTATGAACAACATTACTAAACGCTAAGTCTCAGAGTCGATGTGCGCATATAGACGTCGCGTTGGCCCCAAAGGACCTATACCAAACGTGCGCATGGATACCCAGGGTAGCCCTAAACCCTAAACCCTCCCAGAGCCCACACTCATAAAACCTCACTCCTACAAGGGCTGAGTGGTTCGGGTTTCAGGGTTTAGCGTTCAGGGGTTTAGGGTTCAGGGGTTTAGGGTCTAGGGTTTCGGGGCCTCTTGATGCTGAGTCGTAGTAGACGTAGGCTTTAGAGGTGTAGAGTTTAGGGTTTGGGGTTTGGGGGTTCAGGGTTTAGGGGTTTAGCGTTTGGGGGTTTTTAGGATTTGAAATTTTGGACGAGCAGGGGGTTTAGGTTTAGGGCTTGGGGTTGGCATGCGCGACATCGTTCAGAAGCAATAACATGGGTTCAGGGCTTGGGGTTCAATAACGGCAAAAAAACTAAGAGTAGGAACCACACTACCCTAAGCGCTAAACCCTAAACCGTGGCTAGTTGGCGCTGAGAGCTCCAGGACGCCTACCTGGGAACTGCTTGAACTGTGCCTGCGTAGACAAAGAGAAAGCCGTTGATAACTTACCCTGGGCCCCAAACCCTAAAACCCTACATCCTTTTTCCCAAAGCCGTAGGACTGTGGGCGGGTCCCAACAAACGCAAAACCCTAAACCCTGATCCTTTCTATACCCTAAACCCTGAACCCCTACACCTTTCGTATGCATTACATAGCCGTAGCCATTTTCTGGTGCGATTCCCTAAGCCCTAAGTTTTAAACCCTAAACCCTAAACCCTAAGCCCTAAACCCTAAACCCTAAGCCCTAAGCCCTAAACCCTAAACCCTAGACCCTAAGCCCTAAGCCCTAAGCCCTAAACCTCCGTAGCACCTGACAGCCCGGCCCCAGTCATGCCCTAACCCCCCAGTTACCTACTACATAGGGCCCTAGGGGCTCTAGTACCCTATACTTAGGGGTACTTCCAAATAATTTTTAATCTTTGGTTACTATAAACCCTAAGAAGCAGCTAAAATTATAATTTTTGCTAGGGGTCTAAGTTCAGTATAGCATAGGGCCCTAGGGGCTCTAGTACCCTATATAGTAGGTACCTGGGGGGTTAGTCATGTTTGGGTTCAGGGTTATAGGGCTTCGTAGGTCAGACCGAGGCTGGAGCCGGGTCCTTTTAAAGGACTTTTAGCTATTGGCTACTGGATTTAGGGTTTAGGGTTTAGGGTTTAGGGTTTAGGCTTAGGATAATCCCCAAGAAACAGCTAAAGTTGTAACTTGTGTAAGGGTACCAAGTTCAGCGTAGGCATTCGGAAGCCTTCACCAACAAACCATGCATGGGCTTAGGGTTTTAGTTTAGGCCCTGGGTTGACTTTAGAGTTAGGGTTTAGGGATTATTGTAGGGACTGTAAACACTGAACCCATAAAACCGACCGACAGAAAGACGCCTCTCACTGGAACCAGGACGGAACGAAGCTGTTAATCACCAACCTTCCAGCAGGCCTTTCTGATCCGGGTTGCGCTTAGGGGTTTCAGAACATGAGGGACCAAGAACTGCCAGTACTATTCATTAGGGCTGCTTTTAATCGAAGCAGTTATATATATATATATATGTATATTTATATTTATATTTCTTAATGACATACCTCAAGACCCTATGATCCAATTATACAGGTCCTTATATGCGGCCGCAGTAGGATCCTTTTTCATTAACGCCGTGCTCAGGATGGTTGAGTGTCTAGGAATTGGAGCTCAATTCCAGGTTTTGCGAATAGGGCCCCCGCAAACTTTTAAACCCTAAACCCTAAACCCTAAACCCTAAACCGCAAACCCAAAACCTCTGTGGACATCCTACACCTCCCGGGAGCAGATGGACAAAGGAGCTCGAGATTGGAGAGGGTGAACTCGATCCATTAAAGCCCCACTGGGCCATCAAAAAGAGTCTAACGGTTCAGGTTTAGGCTTTAGGGTTTTAGAGTTTAGGGTTTTAGGGTTTAGGGTTTAGGGGGCCATTGACAAAAAGAATCTTCAAGCTAGAATTGTCAGCTGCCAGACAGCACTCTTTCCCCAGCCCCAAGATACACCCCTGATTGAAATAAATCAATAAATCTTGCCTTCAAGGCGCATCGCAAGATGATGCCGACTAGAATCCTCAGTGTGGGGGGTAGGGGCCGGGGACCAGGGGCTGACATTGCGCACTAAATCCTATGAGCTGTGAGGCCCAAGCGCATATTTCAGGGTCTGGTGCTTCATAAAAAAAAATCTAGACCAGTACCAGGGGCGGTGAACCGGAATCCCTGAGCCAATTAGGATGAGGGTTTGGGATTTCAGGGCAATCTCTGCGCCTGCCGGAAGGCATGTCCAACTCTTCTGAAATCAGAGTAATTAGAGCTCTTAACATGAACCCTGACCCTGAACCACAAGAGCCCTCAACCCTAGAAGCCCTAAACCCTGAGAGCTTTAAGCCCCAAACCGCAAGAGCCCTAAACCCTTAGAGCCTTAAGCCCGAAACCACAAGAGCCCTAAACCCTAAGAGCCCTAAGCCCTAAACCACAAGAGCCCTGAACCCTAGTGTAAGAGCTTTAAACCCCAAACCACAAGAGCCCTAAACCCTTAGAGCCTTAACCCCTAAACCACAAGAGCCCTAAACCCCAAGAGGCCTAAACCCTAAACAACAAGAGCCCTAAGGCCTTAGAGCCCTCAACCCCGAACCACAAGAGCGCTAAAGCCTAAAGCCCTAAACCCTAAACCACAAGAGAGCTAAACCCTAAGAGCCCTAAGCCCTAACCACAAGAGACCTAAACCATAGGAGCCCCAAGCCCTAATCCACAAGAGACCTAAACCCTAAAAGCCCTAAGCCCTCAACCACAAGAGCCCTAAATCCTAAGAGCCCTACACCCTGACCCTTTAAGGAGCCCTACGCCACAAGAGCCCTAAGCTCTAACCCCTCTAAGGAGCCCTAAACCCCTCTGAAACCACAAGAGGCCTTTGAGCCTCAAGGGTTCCCAAGCCTTCTGAAGATGCTGCAATGGCCTTTGCAGGAGCCGCCGTGGAAGACCTCAAGGATGGTTCAGGGTTTAGGGATTTTAGGGCTTTTAGGGTTTAGGGTTTTTAGGGTTTAGGGTTTAGGTTTTTTAGGGTTTAAGGTTGAGGGTTTTTA